ACATCGCATATCATGACTTGTTTGAAGAGGAATTTTAAAACGTGAATAACCAGTTCTTCTAGCAGGCAATAAAGCAACAACTACTCCAAATGATGCTATTGCTAATGCAATGAGTTGTCCATATCGTCTGTAGCAAGCAATGCTTTGTACAAATAAGTTTTACTAGTATCTCCTAGACCATCAAGAAAAAAACACCATTTCTATCGTTTAAAACACAATCTAAATAGTATCATAAGTAAATTGTTGTTCTTTATTTAAACTTTTTGTGAAATACATGTCAGACTGAATATTAACATTTGTACTTTTTTCTAAAATCATAAACGCTAACACATCAGCATCATTTATAGTAACGTCGAAATTTGCCAAGCAAAAATCATTTACATTTTTACCAACAACTTCTAAGAATGAATTTATGCACTTTAGAGCTCTAACCTCAGCATTATATTTCATTAGACTTAAGCTTTAAATTTAATCCACAAATTTCTAGAATTTGTAAGGCCACAAAAAATCAGCACATTAGCAAAAAGGCGATGTGGTCATATACGCATTTGATAAAAAAATGTCTCAGTCAAACACATGTCACAATAATTATTTCCACTTATTAGACCAGATAAGAATGTAGCTTGGCGATAGGTAGGTGCTACAACGCCATTAACTCTCTTTAAATTTTCAAAAGATTTTGACCCTTGAATATGATTTAGTAAAACTCTTAAAAAGTATCTCTCACCCTCAGATGAATTAGCAGCAATTATTCTACCAATAATAATATTTTGCCTTTTTCTATGACTCCAAACCCTTAAATATACACCATACAGAGTATGTAAGAAAATCTTTATAAAGTAAAGTCCGTGCATTTTCATCAGAAATATTCATTTGAAAAAATTCAGTTAACATTGTTCGTTGGATAAAGTCTTTATTTATAATTTTTGATAAATCATCGATTTTATTGTATGTAATCAATTGAGATTTTTCAACATGCAACTGCAAAGAAATTACAGAAGGAGATATGACGAATAAATCAAGACTAAAAATTCTCTAAATAGCTTCTGGTGCAAATATCCATCCAGTAGTTTAGTATTTTGAAATCTCATCAATATAATGTTCATTGGTTTCTTTATTCATAGCAAAATTAATACGGTTATGTCCTTTGTATATATATTTGTATAAATATTTGACAACTTAACAGAATAACATTTTTCTACATTAATATGATAATCAGATTTAGCTAAAATATAAGGATTATATGATACAACCCATCTATTTTCTAGCATGCATCCTCTGACTTTAACAATAATACCATCGTTACGACGCCTGTAAAGTGGGTATGAATCATTACTTAATGAAGTATGTACATTTTACTATTTTGGATATTTATTTCTACAAGTATGGTTGTTTTTCATGCAAAAATTTGTAGGATTTAATTGTCCACAAGGACCGTGTATCATATAGATCACAGTAGTACATAGGTAATGATTTTTCGTGTTATATGGTATTTCATATGTAACGAATTCGTCAACTTGCATAGAATTAGTAATATTAAAATTTTGTTTAAATATAAGAAGAAAATAAACATGAGGCAGACCTCTTTTTTTGAATTTAATCACATAAACATATGTAGCTACAGGCCCTAGAATTTCTCTCTTTAATAAATCTGTTTTTAGTTCCTCAAACTTAGCTCAAAATATTCGGGCTAACAAGTCTAGCATATTCTATATTTCATCATTATGTCTCAATTCTTATTTATTTTCAGGCTAATTTGGATTGCATATCATTGTTTAAAATACGTTGGATTCTTCATATCTTTGAATAAAAAACATTGCATCCATATACTTTTTTACTTAAATTTCTAGGACCCCAATAAATCCTGTCGGTAACACTATTGATTTACCAATTTTATAGCCTCTATTTTCACCACTTTGTATAATATCTATAATTCCGTGGTAAAGTTCTGGTCTTATAATCTTTTGATTATTACAAAAATAATCAAATCTCGTAGTTTCAATCTTAAAATGCATATCTACTATATATTGCTGCAAAAGTCTGCCAGGATGAAGAGACACAGACTTATCTGAATGCCTCATCTGAAGTTTGTAGTAATAATATTCATGACAGGATACAATCATCCGTTTCTTCCTTTTCTTCAAAATTGAAAACAAATATGAAGAAAAAAAATTTGAAAATGACAATATAATTACATACTCTCTGTAAACTATAAAACAACTTCATATATATTAAAACTTACCATGATCTTCCATTTTCAAAAGTTGTTCGGCAGAATCAAAGCTATTAATTTGTATTAAATTTTCATGGATTACTAAAGAAGTATTCAAATTGACATTTTAGATACCTTCGTGCTATCTAGGTTCTCCATAGGTAAATATTAATAGACATTGAAGTGGATCATAATAACCATAATAGTAATTTACTTTATGTGCAATATTCGAATGTCCATAAATTAATATATCACGACTTTGAAGGTTTGCAGATGGGCCTTCATCAACCCATACTACAGCCACCTATTCACATGATGGCATATTATACCGACTTTGATCAAGACCTGGATAACACCTAAGCACAATACGACATGAGCCAAAATCAGAAATTTCACTTAACGATGGAAAAAAACGACAATATGGATTCGGCTTTAAGACATCTATCAATTTTTTCAAAGTGGTTTCACATAACTTGTCAGAATTTTTTAGTCTATTAGTGATTTCATTATCAGTATCATAGAAGTATAACGTTAAATATGTGGGATTCCCATTAGCTGGTAACAGTGAATTTATAAAATTGTACACTTGTCCCTGAACTCTGAATGTATATATACCTTTATTATTCCTACACAAATTTTTATCATACTTGTTAGATTCTATATTTTAATTGGCATTCTATGAACAAAAAGGACTTAATTGTATACGTCTAAAAGTCAAGGCATGAAGTGCAATAATATATAGTTGAGTTGGGCTAGGGTTTGAGCTTGTAAAATTAGGAATCCATAAGTAAAAGTCTCTATATATATGTATATATGCAAAGAAGAAAAGGAGCTAGCCGCTGATGACATATACATATAAATACTCGAAAATTGGGCATCTTGGGAGAGTCAACAAATTGATGTTGCTGAGTTTAATTATATATACACACATGCATGCAGAGACAAAGCAGAAAAGAAGAGAATTGAAGAATTAACCAACTGCTGAATTGTATTTATATTCAAGGAAAATTGAAGCAAATTTGGGGGCCGAATTAAATAATATATATCCCACACAAATAGGTTTATCGGTTGCCATTACAAACACAAAAAACGTCACAACTGGTCGGCTGTGAGAGAATTTAAAAACAGGGGAGCCAAGATTTAAAAACAAATGGATATACCCACACGTTAGCAAATTTTGGTGATTAACTATAAAGTGGAGGTTGCAGGGACATATTCTATACATATACATGCCTACTGAGAAAAGAAGGGCAGCCAAAATATATACGCCTCAGAAAACGACACAAGGCTGCCGGCTTTGAGATGAAGTAGCTGCTGAATTTAATATACTTGCATTCAGAGACAAAAGTGAAGAGAATAAGATTGCTTGTTGGTGAAGACTGCTGGTGGAATTAACAAGTGTTAGTGGCTGAATTTGGACCAGATAACTACACGGAAATTGAGGCAAAAAGGGTTGAAATTCAAAGCAGTTGGGAGCCAAATTGGGTATATATATTCATGAAAAAACCAAAGCATATTTGGTGGTTGAATTGAATATATTATATATTCACAAAACACATCTTTGGGTAAATTGAGTGCCTGGATTATATTAATATATATACACACTTTGGGCTGAAATTGTGTCATACACTCACCCAGAAATTCAGGCAGTAAAGGGGCTGGTTGTTATCATAATTTATATGCACAGATAGAGACAAAAACATTGGCTGCTGATGATTGCTAAATAATAATATATTTATATCTATTAGTGGCAGCTTTGGAGAATTAACAAAGAAAGTGGGCGGTAGAGAGGATTGAACATTGAGAACATATCCTACACTTTCGTTATCTTGAATCAATCCCACTTTCTGGTTGAAGCACTCACAAAAGTCAAAATCGACACCTATCATACATCAAAACCCGTCTTTCCAGAGCATCTGTCAAGGTTTGAAGATCAAGGAAGGAGATCGGAGTTTCGATCATTGGAGAACGAGGAGTTCTCGAGAATCCACAGGGGATATACGTAATTAAGAGCCGGGAGTTGGTGCAGGAGCATGCATTTCAGGAGGGCTGAGGGGAATTACAGTTAGGAGGTCAGAAAAATTTGTGTTTGTTGAATCTGGCGGTACTGTAAGTTGATTTTCATTTATAGTGGATTCATACTGGCTTGGGCCCGAAGTTTTACCCACATTGGGGTTTCTCCGTCATCAAACAAATGTGTTCTTTATATTTCTACAATTTACTTATTTTCGATAATTCAACGTAGGATAGTAAAGCATGTGAATTGACTTAAAGATATTAATAATTGTGACTTGTTGCATTTATTAATTAATTTGTAAAATTTCGCATAAACACCTATTCAACCCCCTCTAGGTGTTATTTGGGTCAAACTACGTTATTTCAAGTGGTATTAGAGCTAAAACTCGAGTCCTAACCCATTGTTGTCTAGATGAGTCAATCACTGTCTGTGCCTCCATATTTTGATGGAAGCAACTGTGCCTACTGGAAGGTTAGGATGCGTGCTTTTCTCAAGTCTTCAGATGAACGTGTTTGGGCGAGTGTACAAAATGGTTGGAAACCTCCTTCCACAACTATGTCAGATGTTGTTAATCTAACTGATATTTCACTTTGGACTCAGGAAGAATTCGCTGATTGCAATTGGAATAGCAAATGACTTCATGCCTTGTTTATGACCATGTCTCCCGAAGAATTTAGGAGAGTGTCAATGTGTGAAACTGCAAAAGAGGTATGGGATGTTCTAGAGACTACGCACGAGGGAACTAAAATCGTAAAAAATTCAAAATTGCAAATGCTAACCTCTAGGTTTGAAGAAATCAGGATGAAGGATGATGAATCGTTTGATGAGTTTTATGCAAAATTGAATGACATTGTAAACTCTAGTTTCAATCTAGGTGAGAAAATTCTCGAGTCAAAAATTGTGAGAAAGATTCTTAGGTCTTTGCCCGAAAAATTTAGACCTAAGGTTAAAGCTATTGAAGAGAGTGAGGATCTGGACACGGTTAAGATAGAAGAACTCATAGGATCCCTTCAAACCTATGAACTCACCATCTCACAACCTAAGAAAAACAAGTCCATAGCACTGAACACAATTGGAGAAGAAAAGTCTGAGTCATTTGACATAGAAACCCTTAGAGATGTGGAAATAGCTTACTTTGTAAAGAAGTTCCACAAAACTTAAAGGGCAAGAGATCGCCCCAAGATAAAAAGAGAGGAGCTCTTAGTAAATCCCAAAAAGAGAAGAGTGATAAACCAATTGCTAGGAAGTCTAGTGAGAAATCTCAAGTTGTTAGGTGCCATGAGTGTTAGGGATTTGGGCACTATAGGAATGAATGTCCTAGCTTTAAGAAAAATTTGAAAAAAGGGAAGGAGGAAGGCATTAGTTGTGTCATTGACTGATGATGATTCAAACGCAAGTGATCAAAGGGATTCCTCTAGTAGTGAAGATGAAAAGGGTTATATGGCTTTTGTGTCTACAGTTAAGAGTGAGTCAGATAAGGAAAGTGAGAAGGTTGAGGAGGATGTAGAGAGTAAGAAGTCTAATGACGATACTGAGGATGAGACGGATATACATGAGGCTTATCAACTTCTGTTTAAGGAGAGTCTCAAGATCAAAAAGGTAAATAAGGCCCTTTTTAAAACGGTAGACAAGCTTGAGAGAGAGAGAAAGAGAGACTCACTAGTGATCTTCAGGTCTCATCTAAAAACTTTAGTGAGTTGAAGTGTGTCAATGAGAAGCTAGAGGACAAGGTTAAGACACTAACTTGTGAGTTAGAGAAATCTCGTACTCAATTGCAGTCTTTTATGAGTGGGACTAAGAAACTAGATAACCTGTTAGGAATGAACAAACCAACTGGGAATAGGTAAGGTATATAATTTGTGAAGAGTGATAGCAACGTGACTAGTTCATCCAAGACCACATTCGTGCCAGCTTCCCACAAGTCTAGTATTTCAATTAATTATGAATCCAAAAGTAAGAGTGTCACTAAACTGAATGCCACTAGAGCCCGTAAGATTTCCACACCAAAATTCCAGCACCAACAATCACATGCATTTGAGCCTGGGTTCATACCCAATTGTCATCACTGTGACGTTTTAGGACGCACGAGACCTAGATGTCATAATCTAGCAAATAGGAATAGAAGTTAGGATATCCCTACTCAAGTAAACTTCCTTTCAAATTAGGTTAGTCACTTAACTGAGATGGTGACTAAATTGACTAAGATCACCTCGACCTCTAAAAAAGTTTGAGTCAAGAAATCTGATGTATGTAGGTATGGTGAGAATTCAAATTGTTTTGTAGCTCATGTTGCATATAAGGCTCAAAATACATATATGCGGTATCTTGATAGTGCTTGTCCTAGACATATGTGTGGAAATAAGGCCTTATTCTCTACCTTTGATGATTGCAACGGTGGTGTAGTTACCTTTGGAGACGGGGCTACGGCACCTATCTGTGGTAAAGGCACCATCAATATTTTCTGACTTCCTATTATATATAATGTGCTTTATGTAGAGGGTCTTAAGTTCAATTTGTTGAGCATTAGTCAAATTTGTGATGCTGATTATGAAGTGAGTTTTGTTGAAAAAAGATGTATTATTTATGACTCTTCAAGTGGTGTTGTCCTTGAAGGTGTTAGAACATCTGATAACTGTTATAGAGTTCTCCCAAACTCTAACTATGTGTTCAGCAGTGCTAAAATTGATATGACTGAACTTTGGCATCAAAGACTTGGCCATGTTAACTATAAAAGCATGTCAAAATTGGTCAAAAAGAAAATTGTTGATGGTTGACCTAAAATCGAACAAAATAAAAATGTTGTGTGTAAGCCGTGTCAACAAGGAAAACAACTTAGGATAAACCATAAACAAACATCTAAAATCTTGACAAACAGACCCTTATAACTTCTCCATATGGATTTAATGGGACCTTCTAGGATTGAGAGCCTAGGAGGTAAACGTTATATTCTTGTTGTAGTAGACGACTTCTCTAGATATACCTGGATTGAGCTACTAAGAGAAAAATTCGAGACTTGTGATCTAGTTAAATCCTTGTGTAAAAGACTTAGAATTGAAAAAAGTCTTTCCATTTCTAGGGTTTGAAGTGATCATGGAAAAGAGTTTGAAAACTTTAATCTTGAAAACTTCTGTTTAGAAGAGGGGATTCAGCATGAGTTCTCCTCACCAATCAGTCCACAACAAAATGGGATTGTTGAAAGGAAAAACAGAGTACTTCAGGAAATGGCTAGAGTCATGCTTTGCGGCAAGGATCTAGTAATCTATTTCTGTGTTGAAGCTATAAACATTACTTGCCACATAGTGAATAGAGTATACATGAGACCGAAAATCGATAAGACTCCTTATGAGATCTGGTAGGGCAAGAAGCCTATTGTTAAATACTTTTGTGTATTTTGTAGCAAGTGCTACATTTTGAGGGATAGAGAAAACTTAGGCAAGTTTGATTCCAAAAGTGATGAATGAGTTTTTCTAGGATATTCTAGGAACAGTAGACCTATCGAGTATATTACTTGCGTACTCAGAGTGTTATGGAGTCTATAAATGATGTTGTTGATTATGCTTTCTCTGAGGGTGAAAGTGTTGAAAATGTGGTAAATTTAGATGATCTAAGTGATGATCAAGGACCCACAACTAGGATAAAGAACCATCAATTCCAAAATCTCTGCGGTCCCCCAAAGGCATAGACACTTCTATTAAGGATCCTTCACCTAGTGAACAAACGAAGCTTCCTAGAGAACCATCATCAAGGGTCAAATCTAACTATCCTAAGGTCAACATCATTGGGGATCTAGATGAAGGTATGAGGTTAAGAAAGAGAGTTCTGAATAACCTAACCTATACAAGCTATGTATCCGAGATTGAGCCTAAGAAAGTTGAGGAAGCTCCTAGAGATGAATGTTGGGTGAATGCAATGCATGAGGAGCTTAATCAATTTGTTCGAAATAGTGTTTGGTATCTAGTGCCTAGGCCTGATGATTGCAATATGATAAGTACTAAGTGGATTTTCAAGAACAAAATCGATGACCACGGTACCATAACGAGAAATAAGGCTAGGCTAGTTGCTCAAGGGTACACTTAGGTTGAAGGGGTAGATTTTGATGAGACGTTTGCCCCTGTTGCACGCCTTGAGTCCATTCAGATCCTTATTGCGGTTGCTTGTACTTTAGGGTTCAAACTGTATCAAATGGATGTCAAAAGTGCCTTCTTGAATGGAATACTTCAAGAAGAGGAATATGTTGAACAGCCCAAAGGATTCATCGATCCTAAGTTTCCCCATTATATCTACAAATTGAATAAAGCCTTGTATGGTCTGAAACAAGCTCCTAGAGCTTGGTATGACAGATTCATTGCATATCTCGTTGACCATGGTTTTTCACGAGGTGGTGCAGACAGAACTTTATTCATTAGACATATTGAAGAAACCATAACTATAGCACAGATCTATGTCGATGATATTGTGTTTGGCTCTCCAGTTGACTCTCTTGCTCATAAATTTGCCAAATTTATGAAATGGGAATTTGAAATGAGCATGATTGGAGAGCTAAGTTACCTCCTTGGCCTTCAAGTAAAGTAAACTGACTATGGGTTGTTTATCTCTCAGTCAAAGTATGTCAAAGACCTAGTTAAGCGATTTGTACTGGGTAGTAAAAAACACACAAGGACACCTATGAGCACGAGTGCTAAGTTATGTCATAATCCTACATGCGGAAATGTTGATTGGACATTGTATAGGAATATGATAGGTAGCTTACTCTACCTTACAGCCAGTAGACTTGACATAGCTTTTAGTGTTGGAGTGTGTGAGAGATTTCAGGCAGATCCTAAGGAATCCCATTTGAGTGCAGTAAGACGTATCATTAGGTATGTGAATGGGACTGCAAATCATGGGATCTTATATTCCAAAGAGTCAAATCTTGAACTCGTCGGCTATTCTGATGCCAATTGGGCTGGAAATGCCGATGATAGGAAGAGCACCTCCAGTGGATGCTTTTTTGTTGGTTCTAATCTTGTGTCATGGATGAGTAAGAAACAAAACTCAGTTTCTCTATCTACAATCGAGGCAGAATACATTGCAGCCGGTAGCTACTGCACTCAATTGCTTTGGATGAAGCACCATGGAATGATTATGGGATAAATCAGGGACCATGACTGTGTTTTGTGATAACACTAGTGCTACCAACATCTCCAAAAATCCGGTTCAACACTCTAGGACTAAATATATTGATATTCATCATCACTTCATTCGTGAATTTGTTGAGTTCAATGTGGTATCCCTTGAACACATTGCTACAGAAAATTAGCTTGCCGACCTGTTCACTAAACCTTTAGATGGTCTGAGGTTCGAGTCACGTAGGAAGGCTGTTGATATTTGTGTACCTACTTGACTAGTTTTATAGGAACATTCATATACAGTTCACCTCTGTGTCCATTTTTGCATTCATTTCATTACATGTTCATTTTGTTTGCATTTGTCTTTTTCATATGTTTTTCACCTCATCATATAAATTTTTTTATAAAAAAATAAAAACATAAAAAACAAAAAAAAAAAATTCAGATGACAAAACTATGTGGCGCATTCATGTTTTAAAAAAATTAAAATTAAAAAAAATGAAAAGTTCTACAGCATAATACATAATTCTGAACTTTTATGTTGTGATCGTGTATGAGCTAAAATGGATAAGCTGTAGCATTATTTCCATTGTTTGATTAGGTTATCATGGAGTACTTAGTATATGTGTCTTCATATACCATCTGCACTGCACACACTATGAATTTGTTAGTGGGACTCTACCGTGTGTGTGAGATTTGGGATGGCTGTCACATGTTAATAGGGTGACTTTGAACATGAATTGACCAATATTTAGTAGACCTAAACCCAAAAATAATCCCCCATTACAATAAGCTCATATCTTAATATTCTTCTTCGGGGCCTATTTGACTCGAGCAATTAAGCCTTTGGGGTCTCTTAAAACTTGGTGCCTATAGTCAATTGACTTAGGTTAATCGGCTTAAAGCTTGCTACAGGGGTTATCTTAGTCGTCTAATGGAGAAAAATCTGCACTTAAGATGAAAAATTAATGAGCTAGAAAAATGAGAAAAATGTACCAAATATCGAGAGTTGGAATAATATAAAAATCTGAAAAATATAAAATCTCATAGTAAGGGGGAGATAAGTAAAAATGATAAGTATAGGTCCTACTGTACCTTACATGGGTTGACTTTCATTAGTAGGGGAATATACTTATTGGCAGTGATTGGCATGTCCCTTCTTACAAAATTAAGGTTTGAAGTCTCACATGCATTGGACTAGTGACACTTTACAAACATAAGTCACTTGTACTTTTTACTCTATTCTGATCTGCACTGAGTATGTGGGAAGGTCTATGACTTATTGATTTTATCTTTGCATCCCGTCAACTGTATTTTTAAGTTATTATGTGTTATTGTTCAGATTGTAATTGACACGATACCCTTCAACATTTGTGACAAAAAGAGAGAGATAAAAGCGTAACTGAGGGAGAGACATAGATACATTGATTTACTGCATAACATTTATGAGAGTTTGCAGTAAAAGGGAGCGTTTCATTGCATTCCATAGCATATCCATTGCTGTTTGAGTTTTGATATTTAGTGATATTGGTGTTTCGGTTGGTTGAGTTGGGCTAGGGTTTGAGCTTGTAAAATTAGGGGTCCATAAGTAAAAGTCTATATATATGTATACATGCACAGAGGAAGAGGAGCTGGCCGCAGAAGACATATACATATAAACACTCAAAAATTGGGCATCTTGGGAGAGTCAACAAATTGATGTTGCTGAGTTTAATTATATGTACACACATGCATGCAGAGACAAAGCAGAAAAGAAAAGAATTGAAGAATTAACTAGCTGCTGAATTGTATTTATATTCAAGGAAAATTGAAGCAGATTTGGGGGCCGAATTAAATAATATATATCCCACACAAATAGGTTTACCGGCTGCCATTACAAACACAGAAAACGTCACAACTAGTCGGCTGTGAGAGAATTTAAAAAGAGAGGAGCCAAGATTCTTATATTGATATACCCACACGTTAGCAATTTCTGGTGATTAACTATAAAGTGGAGGTTGCAAGGACATATTCTATACATATACACGCCTACTAAGAGAAGAAGGGTAGCCAAAATATATACGCCTTAGAAAACAGCCGGCTGTGGGATGAAGTAGCTGCTGAATTTAATATACTTGCATACAGAGACAAAAGTCCAGGTTATACTTTCTCTGACTGATAAAAATGCCAAGAGGTGATCGAGCAATTTCAAGACCAAGAAAGTACTCCATGATGCCTAAATCCTTAATTTCGAACATGTTATTAAGAGATGTTTTGAGGATAGTAAAGGCAGAGAGGTCATTTCCTCCAATCAAAATATTATCTACATAAACTAGGACAAAAATAAAAGATGAGCCAATAGTACGAGTAAAAAGGGAGTGATCATTTGTAGATTGAGGGAAACTATCAGACAAAAATATAGATGAAAGTTTCGAGTTCCAATTACATAAAGCTCGCCTAAGGCCATAAAGAGATTTAAGTAGGTGACAAACACAAGTCTTTCCATCTTGACCATATACTAAAGGAAGTGTCATGTAAACCTCTTCATCTAAATATCCATGAAGAAAAGCATTGATGACATCAAGCTGACATGGATGCCGACATCAAGCTGACAGGGATGCCAATTACGTGCTGCTGCAGTGGCCAATAAACGACGAACAGTAACAAGTTTGGCCACAGGAACAAAA